ACCTTTTTTCACCTAGTTAACATTTTGTATTATTCATGAGCATATTGTAGCGATCTGCATTTATTGTTCAAGTGTTCTGTTAACTGTTTGTGTCAGGCTTCTGTGAGGAGAGCAGGTAGGGGCGGGGTTGGGGAGCAGAGGGTTTGGTGTGTGTGTGTCTGGTGGGCGCGTGCAGGGGAGTGAGAGGTTGGCGCGAGAGGAGAGAGAGTGAGAAAGGACGGATGAGAGCCGTTGGTTGTTAATAAACCTGTTTAACTTGAGAACGCTTCACTCGTCATTCCGACACGTCCGGGTGGACGTTACAATATATACATATTGGGTCATATATACCGGTACATACTAGATATATTTACATGAATGTGTGGAGATAGAATATCCAGAAGTTTCTCCTTATTAAAAGGCTCTTAACTCCAAATCTGTTCCACCTCCTACCTCAGATCATCCCTGTTGAGGCACCACTTTGAGTTTTGTGTTTGTTAATCCGACAGAGATTACATTCTTCCTGTCCAAAACAATACAGAATCTTGCTGATCTTTCTCTGTCTTTTTCATTTACAAATTCAATCTGTAGCTCCGTCCGGTCAGCCGTATGAGATCATGAAAGAACTTGGAACCAACGTCCAGCTCCTCCCGAACCACACCACCCCGCAGAAGAGCGACACCTACTTCAACCGCAAGATGAAGACCAACAGGTCAGCCTGAAAACAACACCAGTTCTCACAAAAATGTATAATCATGCAGATTTATGTTATGAAAACCAACATGCATTGAAGCAGGGATTGTGTGTGTTTCAGGCAGCTGGTGTTTTGCTCCCTGGCAGTGCTGGCGGAGGAGAGGAGCCCGATCGAGTGTCTGGATGCTTTTGGAGCCACAGGTGAGATTCAATAGACACTTTTTTCTGTATCACGCTAATATTTTACTCTAATCTCTCCATTGTTGTTTACCTATGAGTTTAGATCTCCAAATGCAGATCTTCTATTGTTCATATTTTGCATTTTATTTAATTTTTTTGTTATAATACCCATTTATTTTTTCTTTAACTTTCTCTTATTATCTGTATTTTTTGCACTTTATAGCAAATCTTTATTTTGGAGTAATTAGTTTTAACAAAATTATGGCTGCTTATTTATATAGAACAGCCAAAGAACATTACATTTAAATAAAGTATACATTTGAAATTATTTCCCATTTATCTGCATTTAAAGTCGGGGTTTCCCTGCCATCTACTGTGATAAAGATCACAGCTGCTTTTGACGTCATTTCAATATGTGGTGTTTTGATCAAATACATTAGTCTAGTAATTTTGCACACAAAAAAAATACAAGTCTTCCAACTGCTTTAACATAATTGAATCTGCCCCTCAAAATACATTTATTTCAAAGAGTTAAGATAAGAATCATTAACTTGATTCTATTGTTGTCAAATTCCTGCCAATAATAGCAGTCATTTTACCATCTTGGCTTATTTCAGATCTTAAACAACGTTGTGATAAAACAATCAGTCAATTATAATTGAATTATAATAATTAAATATAAATAATTAATTATAATAATACATTTTTATAACAACATTCCACACAAAAAAATCCAAATATTTCCTGGTTTTCTTGTCTTTTAGGGTTTTCTTTTAAAATAGTAGGTCGGATCGGATAGGGCTTTAAAAAAATACACTGATGCGTAGAATCTTTTACAAAATTACAACACATTACCCACTTCTTTCCATATCAAAAGGAGGAACAGTCCTTTAAATGTCAAGAATGTTCTGTTATTTATACAACAAAAGAGTAAGGGTCCCACGATTCAATAAAGTCAGACTGAAGCACTCCTTTGTGCATCAGTCAATCCTCACAGTAAATACAGAGCTAAATCCCAGATCAAATGCACGCTGAAGGCTCTTTGAGCAGCTTTTCTCTCACTGATTGTGCTGTTATGTTAAATGTTTGTTGTTTGTGTTTCATGTATTGTGTCTGNCTACAATTTCTTAAAATGTAATTTTAAAATGTGAATGGCATGATATCCAAAACATGTTTTTTGAGGAATAGCTGGAATATGAAATGATAAAAAAATGTAATTACAAAGATACTTCAAGAAAACCACCTCGCTGGGTCCAAAAAGACCCACTTATGGAAGATTGGGGTAGTAATACAAAAACTACAATTTCTTAAAATGTAAATAAAAAATTTGAATGGCATGATATCCAAAACATGTTTTTTGAGGAATAGCTGGAATATGAAATGATAAAAAAATGTAATTACAAAGATACATTAAGAAAACCACCTCACCGTGTCCATAAAGACCCACTTATGCATCTAAGGTTGTCATTTTTGGGGTTATATTAAACTTACCCTTGTGTTTCTTTTGGGGCTTTCTGTTATAGTTGACAAGGATTGCATAAACCCTGGCATGATTTATTAATCTGCTCAGTGCTTAAAATGCATTGGATGATCCCAGGCGTCTTTGCACAAGATTTAGCCAATCAAAAATCCAGGATCAGAGGCTTCTAAAGCTCTACTTCTAAGCTCCATACATTCCTCCATCCTAGGTCATCAAAATTTTACATCTCTGTAACTTTCCATGATTAGTAAAAGCCACACTATTGAGCAATACAGAAATGATTCATACCAATTAGGTAACGTGTTGATAAGTAAACTTTTTTTAAGAATGACACAGCCGACACTGTTGTGGCATTTAGAGCACAGGCATTTAGAGGACATCAAATGCCATGTCACAAATGTGAAATGAATCCTCAGGTTAACAAGTTGAATTGTAGCATACACCCATTCTTAAAGTGATTGTGCGGGAAGTAGTTGGGAACATATTGAGAAAATGACCTTCTTGTCCTGACAGCACATGCTTTGATCAAGACATGTCAATAGGTAAATGTATTGGTAACACTGAATGGTCGATTTACTTTCACCTTTTGAAATCCTAACCTTCAGCTCCTCCTTGGTTAGGTTGACTCAAAGCCAATGCAGAAGTTGTGATTAATGTCTATGTGATTCAGCCAACAATGAACATAACTGACGTTGAATGTTTTAACATGTTCATGGATAAATTCACCTCTGCTGAAATAAAGGTATGTGCTTCAGGCATGTGTCAAATAAAAGGCAATTACATGCATCTCTATGTTGTTTCTGTGATGATCAGACACTTTCTCCTTTACATTGTATATCTACTGTAATAAGTATTTTCAGTGGTGGAAAGTTAAACACATTAAAACGAATCACTTAGTAACACAAACACAGATAAAGATGATGGAAAATGTGATCGTTTTCTCCAGTTTTTGGTCACAACCTAATGAATTGGACTTAATGGGGACCGTTAAAAACAGAGGGTATCAACAAAGTGTTTACAATGTATTCAGAGGGGTAACATGAATATCTGTACACCATTTCATGGCAAAAAGATGTTTCAAAGCTGTAAATGTGAAACTGGTTGTACTAATGGAAAAGTCCAAAGTAATTAATATACATCCTTTGGGGAACATGACATTTTGCCAAACAGATTGTGCTAATCCTTACAGAAGATGTTGAACTAGTTCACAGGATAAGTAAAAACTTTGACTTATTGTCTTTCAATTCAGTTAATACAATAGTTGTTTATGTATATTTGAATAAAAGGCAACACAAACTACTGACCTGTTTAACTTTTCCACCACTGTTGCTCCCAGGTTTTAGCACTCATCTAATTGACACCTGTGCACCATAACCTGTGCTTGTGTCTCCCCTCTGATTATATTGAAGCTGCAGGCCAGGTCCTCAGCTCTCATGTGTTGGTGTTATTTTACATCACTACTGAAAGCAACAACACTTTTTGAGTTGAACTGTGCTGTAATTCAAACTAGCTTGAAGCATTTGTGTCACAAATGCTTTGCTAACTCCTCCACTTACCCACTCCTCCACTTACCCCCACCGGACTTGAACCCTCCCTCTTTATTGGAGGAAAGTCAGGATACTGTCCTTGTGGAAAAGTACTGGCAACTGGGCCTTGCTTTGTTCATTGTCTATTTTGGAGAGTGCAAACAGGAACAATAGCCTGAAGCAAATGCTCTGAATGGCCTCACGGCGAGGGAGCGAAGATATGATTAGATTAGGATTAATTCATCTACATGCATGACAGTCTTTCAATGTGTAACGCACATTTTAGTTTTTCTAGTAAAGCCGAAACCCAATTTCAGCAAGGTTTAAATTATTCAAGTGTTAACATAATCCCTTGTAATGGAGCTTGTGAGGATGGGCTAATTAGTTTGTATGGCTCGGCATGGGTTATTTTTGTCAGGTTTACAGGTTGCAGTTGTAATGCTGCATTTATCGTTGTGCACATTGCATATAATAATAATAATCTTTATTTGTATAGCATCTTTGATACAACAATTGCAGTCCAAAGTGCTTCACATAGACATTTCACTGAAAATGTATATCACACAGAATACAGATACCAGTAAAAGACATAAAAACAAACTAGACATAACAAATACAATTGCATATAGTTAAGATGGTGAGGCAAATTTGCATGCTGGGTTAACAGGGCACATGCATCATGCATTTAACTACATGTCTCTGACAAGAAAAAAGCAAGTCCCATTTATGGAGCAGCTGGTCAACAGGGATAAGTGGCAGCTAGGCGGTTCAGGATTGGACTCTTGTTTATCAGGCCTGCTGACCTATCTTTTTACATGTCACTTGTTTGACGCTTTTATCCAAAGCAATTTACATACATTCAATACTGTGGGCAGTCCCCACAGGAGCAATTTTGGGGTGATGTGTCATGCCCAGGGACACAACGACATGCTGACTGCAGTGGAGATGGAACCAGCGCTCCCCTGATCTGAAAATCAATGCACAAGCCCACTGAGCCACAGACGTCCAATCCTTCATAGAGCAATGCATCTTTTACCATCTCTCCTACCAGGATTATCTGGTCAGTATCTGTGGATGTATATTTGAAAAGACAGTTTTTCTTTTTTGCATGCAACAAAGGTCCCAAGACATAGAATGACGGAGTACTACTATGATTTTAATCATGAGTTATATCAAGAATAAAATTGCAATTAAAGGATGGAAGTATGGTTATTGAGACCTGCACCTGAAATAAGGGACACGTTGTAACAGAGTATACTACATGTAAACATATGTTTTCTTTGCTGTTTGTTAGCAGATTTCAAAGCAATGTCTCTGTTATTCCTTCTTATTAGGATGACAACAGAATCAGCCATGTAGGGAATGTGGAGTGACCTTTCAAATAAACCACAACACATGGTCAATGCGTTCCTGTCATTCCCCATGCACAGCCCTGACTTAACTATAGCTGCATGCCTGTTATTCTGGCATTATTCCATGGAATAGTTCTTCAATCACAAAAGGAAATATTTACCGCCTTTAGTAATAACAGTTGAAAGTATAGTGGCCGTGACATAATGACAGAGAATCAATGAGGCATACATCCATGAGGCCCTTTCCCGTCAGGGTCAAACTGACCAATGATAACAACATTATTGATAAATGACACATTACTGCACGGCTGATTAAGTTTAAGGTGTGAACATCTGATAAAGAGTTTTTCTATGGGGAAAAGTGACTTATTTTATAATGCAGAAAAATATCAGATTAAGTCAATATTATCATCATGTCTCAGTGGTGACTGAAAGTGTGTAAAATGTCCATCCTTCTTGTTCTCTTTGGTAACTCCTACAAGACCTGTGTTCTCATTGAAAGGCTCAACCCTGATGCTGCAAGTTTATCAAACTGATCCTACTTCATGCAAAACAGTTATTAGACATTTTTAAGATTTTTTTTAAATAAATCCATGTTATTTTCTTCCATAGCTACACCAGGACACCACCCAATCAATAGATGATTTTACAGGCTTACAAGACCTTTACAGAAACACAATATTGCGATCAAACTGAAAGACAATTTTAATTCTATCTTTTAACCAATCATCATGTTATATATTCATCTGTTTGTATAATATTTATGCTGACTCCTGTGACTCATAGAACACCAGTTGATGTGTGCGCTTTTTAAATGGCATGACCCCAAAATAGTCATTCACAATGTGAGTTTGTTCCTGCCCACTTTATGTGCGCAGAAATTAGTAGGCACAATGTGTGGTCAAACATGAGTTTATGTAATATTTGAGCCTATCATGGGATTTATGGTTCACTGGCTTAAGTGGCATTGCTCCCTCCTTTTTTAATTTCAGTCTTGCCTTAGGTTTGTTTGTCCGTCTCTGATCTCTGATGTTTAATCCAGCCATGCTTGTGATGATATCTGAAGACCTTTGGGTATTTCAGTCATAGCTTGCTGTCTAGCCTGTTTACACGCAGAAACATCTCGCAGGATATTTTGAATCCTTCATTTTCCTTGATCACATACTGTTATTGAACAACCTATTCCATTATATTTATGTAAAATGTGTAGTTTTTTAGACAAAAATAATCAAGAACAAACAAATTCAATTACCTGCTAATACTGTATTTATGATGATGTCAAGTGAGTTAGAAAACCAGCTGAAGCAGTACAACCAAAACAGAAAGATTGGCAGCATTAATATATGAAGGTCAAGAAATGCCTTTAATGTATGTACAGTATAGTACTCTTTTATACAAAAGGTTTATACATTGTAATTTATTGGTTAGAGATAATGAACTAGTTTAACATTATTAAATCAACACTCCGTGGGATAGAACCATTTACTTGGACCATAGTGTCCTTTAAAGGTGCTTAGTAACATTTCTCATAAAATGGTGCAGAATAATGTTTTGAAGCTGTAATAAATGTACCCTCAACATGAAAGGGGGTTGCAATGAATGCATATGTTAGGGACAAAGCAGTAAGGCAACAGGACACAGGAGTTGTTTAAAGAAACTGGGTTTTTTATTTACCCAAAATACACGCACATTATAAACCATGCATTTTTAATAACTAGGCATATAAAAGAAGTCCACAGAAAATAACTCAAATAATGTGTTAACTGAATAAACCAACCTTTCACAACAACACACAATGGAACATAATGGCTTGGCCAAACCAAATAGAATATTTAAAAAATGTCCCCCTTTAACATGCGAGCATGTTGACCCAATTGTCTTCTTGCAGTATTTACAGCATGAGTCTTCAGCCCTCAGCCACTTGTTTTGCTGAACAAGGAAGGAACCTCCCCAACGACCAGGGTAACTCCAAGACAAATAACTTTTTTAATTCTAATACCTTTGTTAACTGTTCTGAACTGTGTGAAAATAAACAAAATAAAGTCAGTGGAAGGCTTTCAGAGATTGGACTTCGTACATAATGTGGGAAAGATAATAAAGCTGTTTAGGTTGATACAATATCTCCACCCTTTATTGTGAAAAACATCAGATGATATGGCCCCCTGTTGTCAGTTAATTTCAACACACACAATGTGTTCTTTCAACATACTGAGCCAACAGAGTCACTGGTGATTAAAAAAAACATGAAGTTGTGAAATATACGATACGATACGATATTACTTTATTTGTCAGATCAGGTCTGAAATTTGACTTGCATCAAAGCAGCTCCATGTCCAACATCAACAGACAAATATCCAGACACAAATACATGAAACACAAACAACAAACATTTAACATAACAGCACAATCAGTGAGAGAAAAGCTTCTCAAAGATCAGCCTATCTATTGCTCATAAGATGTGCAGATGCTGAAAACTGACCAGAGATTGAGAGAGAATAGGGAAAAACAAACCAGGGTCATGATATCATGGAGATTTGGATATACTTAGCAGAGCATACAATCTTTTTTGCAAAAAACTGTTAAGAAATGTGCATGGAATAGGCCTATTGGACCTTTACTATGGTCTCGCTGTGCCTTTAATTGTGTGTTTCCTCTTTGTACACACTGTTTCCCCTCTTGTTTCACTTTACAGAGCAGAAAGTCAGCTAAGCATCCTCCCGTTGGAACTCCAGAGCAAAACATAAATAATCTGGGAACGATCAGAGGTGGTGGGAGTAATCTGCTCTAGCAGTGTTGTTCTAAAGGGTTGGGAAACACTGCCAATTTAACGCAGGATTTATTTTCAAGCATTCTTCTCAGCAAGCTGATACTACCCTGAAGTGTCCTTGAGCAACACAAAATATCTTTAATGACATCAGGGTGATGCCTTTCGACTCTGAAGCCTCATTCGACCTCCAATGAAGTGCGTGATTACCAGAATACGCATTTGCTTTTTTACTGAACAGAGAGATAAATAAAATAATTGTATATTAATCATCAAGCACATCTTTCACAGAAAAACATGTACGTGCATGTGAATATGCACGCCACACATGCATGTGTAGCATCTGCTGCCATCTCGGGAAAGCTGAATAATTTAGACTGGCTGCTTCCCCTTGCAGTGTACTCCCTCTATGGGGCAGATCAAGAAATACAATTGAGAAACACTAGTCTTTAAATATTCAATTGCCAGACCTGTATTTGTTGCTGGTATTTGGATATTCATGCATATATTATTACTTGTGTGTCAGGTTATATTGACTCCCAGCTCTTAACGTTTCTTTAACAGCTGAAAAAATTGGATTTTGCATGCCTGACATTTTCAAGGTCATGCTCCACTTTGGTTTTTCTTCAACCCCCACCACACACAAAAACTCAAAACCCATTGTTCAGATTAAGAAAGTAAACAACGTACCAGCAGAGGTGTTCCTGGGAGCAGATGACTTTGCCTCTGGCTCTTTACTTTGTTCTGTTTTCAAAGTTGTCCCCAATTCCATGATGCGGCCGTCGGAAAACTTGAACGAGGTTGGTGCAGTAAAGCTTTAAAAATGCATATATTTCTGTTCATTAAATGATATTATTTTAAGCTGCTCTTGACCTATATGTTTTGCTCTAGAGTTGGGCCTTAGTAAGGTTAAATGTGATGTGAATGTAAAATGTACAGTAATATACAGTATATTAAATATTTGTAGAATAGATTTACATAATACAATACAGATTTCCTGACAATAGTCTTTGTTTTGTATTGGCCATCAAACCAATATTTTTGCTGATGAGGCCGATTAGCTGCATACTGAATATATAACACCGAAGGATGGCTTTTTACTTTTTTCACAAAAACTTTTTTTATATTATCATGACTGTTCTATGTTTTATAAAAACACAGAAAATGTATAACCTAGTTTTCAAAGGCTTTAAGATTTATTCCGGTCAAATATGCATATTATTAGTATAGTCAGTGCGTCACTTTGGCACTACTTTTTCTTCTCTTATGCCTAAAATGAGTTTCCACAAGTCTATGTTCAGAATTAGGATACAATACACTCAATTTACCTAGTAGACAAGTGGATTGTCTTAAACTACTGGAAACATTGTCTTTTCTCTCCAACTAGATGGGTGCATCTGAGTTGTCCAACCTGACCCTCCACCTGGAGGGCTCTCTGACTAGTGCTCTGGGTCAGTACCTGGACAACTGGCGGCGTAACATGACAGCTGCAAGCAGCGCTTTGGACAAGACTCTGGCTGATGAGAACTTCAAGAACGTTATCTCGTATCTGGCGGTGATGATTGGCATGTTCGCCTTTGTTGTCGTGGCCATGCTGGTGAGCACAGTCAAATCCAAGAGGAGAGAGCACTCTAATGACCCCTACCACCAATACATCAAACAGGACTGGACTGCCCAGTTACAACAGGATGACGTCTACACTAACTTTGGTGCTGGATAATGCAATTAAATACACATTACTCACAGCAGATCATCACTATCAGGGGCAGCAGCAGCAGGACTATAGAGAAGTAATTTATTTGAAATAATTAGTATTACAATAATTAGAAATTAATGAAAAGTATTGTGTCCAGAACATATTTAAATTAAATATGATTTTTTTTCTTTCTATTTAGCTGCTTCAGTTATAGGGTCTTCTTGTCCTTCATGCTGGTGTCATTTTGTCATGATTTACTGTGACACTTAATGCTATAGTACCATGTCTGCTGTAAAAAAGGGCTATTCAAAATAAATGTATTTAAGATCAGCCTCACCCTGATTCTAAACCTATCTGTGTGTTTATGTTTCTACTAATTTGTATACATATTATTTACCCAAAAGCTGAGATCATTTTTCGAATCACTGCATAATGATCTTAAACTGTAAGGAGTTATGTTAAAGTACACAACCCTCGTAATTCAGTAGGTCATACTCTGTTTCACCCACAGGGGGCAGAAGAGGCTCCTCAAAGCAGTGGATGTGAAGAAGAATAAAGAGGGAGGTGTATCATGGCTGCAGCTTCTTATAATGAAACCTGCTGCAACTCGTGCAGATTTTTCAATTGTTTAATAATGGTGAATGTTCATATTAAATAAACTGTACAGGAGGGAAGATCTTCAAATCTACGTCTAGTTTTGTGAATGACAAAATTAAGAACATAGATAGAATCGGATAGAATCGGGAGGGATAAAACCCTGGTTGCGGTCGGATAATCCAAAAATCAGCTCCTAACACCTAACCCTATCGTCTATTCCTTGACCTCTAAGTGAAACGTCATGGGGTTAAGGGATAGTGGATAGGAGAATTCAAAAGGGTTTAGGAGAAGAGACTGCGGTACTTTAGAGAATCCGACTGCACTTTCACTATCCGACGTGTTTATGATGCGCCAGCGGACGTGATGAATGTGCGTCTGTTGCTGTGAGGAAACTATGGAAACTACAGTTATCTGTACAGCGGATTACAACATGGATGTAGAACGACGGACTACTGTAAACTCATCTAGGCTATCTATTCTAGAGACTCTGCACCGTGCTCTGTTGCTGTTGTTTTATGCTTTATGAACGTGGACAACAGAGAAACATATTCTTCATGACCAAAGTTGGAAGTAAAATAAAAAAGGAAAGTGAAACTTATGCTCGTCATCCAGTCTACATTAATACAAATGATCCCAATACGTATGATTGTATGAACTATGAAAATATCTTAAAATCAATACAAATGTATTTATTATAAACGTTATAGTCCTTAACATCTATCACTGTGTATATCACCATTCAAACATCTTTTAACAAACCCCACACAGCTCAGTAAAGACTGTGAAATGTTGACTTTATTTGATAATTTCAGTAAAAACTAACGTTCATATTTCTCTTTTTGATTATAATACTGATGAACTTTCAAAACAAAGCACTTTGGCGAGTTACCGTTTTAAAATGCTTAATAAGCACCAAAACTTTCGTGATATAATTTCCCGGTCATAATCAGATGTTTCCGTGAACGGCCGACTGCTGTGTCACGGCAAATGCTGCGGCCACAAGGCATTGTGGGGCAGCATTTTCTCCTCTCCTTTCGTAAAGGGAGGTCCAGTGGTTCCTAAACTAAAGGAGGTTATAAAGGAAGTTTGAAACCTCCTTTCCTATCATCTCTAGAGAATTCGAACGGCACTTATCTTGCCTGCTACTGAGGGACTTCCGGGTCATTTCACTCCGTTAGGAAGGTTCCTAAGCTAAATGGACTATTCGACTTCAGCCCAGTTGGTNATTGTCTGATTTTTAATGAATTCATTGGTAAATTCCTCGGTAAAATAAGTATTTGGTCACCGACAAACAAACAAGATTTCTGGCTCTCACAGACCTGTATTACAGGTCTGTGAGAGCCAGAAATCTTGTTTGTTTGTCGGTGACCAAATACTTATTTTACCGAGGAATTTACCAATGAATTCATTAAAAATCAGACAATGTCATTTTCTGGATTTTTTTTTTCTCATTTTGTCTCTCATAGTTGAGGTATACCTAGGATGAAAATTACAGGCCTCTCTCATCTTTTTAAGTGGGAGAACTTGCACAATTGGTGGCTGACTAAATACTTTTTTGCCCCACTGTATATGGCCATGTACAGGCCCGGTTCCAGAACAAAATGACTTGGGGTGCATCTGAAATTAGCAGCAGTAGTAGGTTTACTAGGTGGGAGGCGTGTAGTGCAGTGGGTTGTGTGTTGGTGTTTGGAACAGGGGGTCACAGATTCAAACCCCACTGCAGTCAGCATGTCGTTGTGTCCCTGGGCAAGACACTTCACCCCAAATTGCTCCTGTGGGGATTGTCCACAGTATTGAGTATGTAAGTCACTTTGGATAAAGCGTCTAACAAGTGACATGTAATGTCATGTTTACATGAGCATGAGCAATAGTGGCCAGCAACAGCAATGAAAAATAGCATCGATGTTACGGTCCCCAATGAACAGTATTATGGCATTTGTTATGTTTTGAAACCAAGCAAGTGAATATTTCAAGTCAAGTGTGTTAAAAGTGCAATCCTGAGATATTTCATATAGTCCAAAATGGACTATGGCATGGAAAAGCACAAAAGCTTCAAAACTGTAGTGATAAAACAAATGAGAGCATATTGTAAATCAAGGAAAATATTATTTGAACCAGCTCATGGTCTGAAATGGCAAACATTGAAAAGCAAAAGGTATTATTAAAACCATGACATACCATCATCACCTTGTTCCCATCATATACTCTGGGAAGAAAATATTTACTGTATCACATCATCATGTGAGGTTGATCTGGAGAACATTTCAGCTGCAACATTAGCTTGTTGATAAGCATATGAGATATTTTTGTAGCCATTCGTGATGCAGGCATCTGTGCTATTGTATGCATTAATTTTGACCCAACATTTCTACAGGCATGGCAGAATATGGCACTATTTTTGCATGAATTATTCTAGCCATTGTCTATGTGTATACCACGAGCTGCAAAATGACCGCCTTACCACACTGTACAGGCGGGTACTTGTTTAGATATACCTAGGCTCTGTTTTGCCGTCTTATCCTGGCACCTGCGGGCCGCAGTAGAATCGGGCGACGAAGACTGCTGCTCCGGGGGCGAGGGCGGCGAGTCAGGCGAGTCAGGCGGGAGTAAACTGGTGTCCACGACGGAGGGTAACGTGATTTCCCCATCTGACCTGTTGCTACTGTCTGCAGTAGATATGCAGTACTGCTGGCGTTTAATGATGGTTGCTTTAACCATTTTCGTATAAATGATTATCCACAAATGTGTGTCACTGCTGTGGATGCACTTTGGAAATGATGCACGCGCAGCGGAGCAGGTCACGCGCACCTGACACAATTTGTTTGTATTTTTCGCTCCGTTCTCTTTTTTCTAATAGAGGGTGCATAACATTCAACTGGGGGTGCAACTGCAATGCATGCCTATGCACCCCCGAAGATCCCGACGCGAAGCTTGAAGGATAAACACCAGGTTTACTAATCTAGTCGTCCCGCACAATTTTTCTCTGGTGTCGGAATGTCTCGCTATGTTAGTACTTTCTTAAACAACAGAACACCATTTAATTTCGGGTTAAAATGTGTTGTAACTGCGTTACTGAGCATTGTAAAGGGTAATATATTACCCAATACCATTAGTAATGCGTTACATTACTTCGTTACAGCAAAAAGTAATGTATTACTGTAACTCCGTTACTTTTGTAACGCGTTACACCCACACTGGTCAGGAATACATTCACTGTAGACCACACAGACTACATCACAAGTGAAACCTCTCAGGAAGATTATTTTACACAGCAAGATCTGATACCTTAGAAATAAACTTTTACTTACTTACTACCTGTCACTCAGTATAATAATAATAATAATAATAATAATAATACATTATTTGTATAGGGCTTTTCAAGGACTCAAACTCGCTTTACAAGGGAAGGTTAGGGTGTGGGGCATAGGACTATCAAGAGTAGACAAGAGGAGAAGAGATGAGTTTTTAAAAGGGACTGGAATACTGTGAAAAAATTATAAAATTGTGAAAAATTAAATATAAAATATCCCTAATGTGAGCCAAAATATAATACTAAATATTATACAAGTGATTTTTCTTAACCAAAATGACAAACATGGCATAAAAACACATATTATTCTAATACGGGTCCTTTTAGACCCACTTATGGAAGAGTGTAGGGTCGAGCCACTCCTGCATCTAAGGGTTACATTACACGTCAAAACATTTTTATTTTATTTTTTTTAAATCAATCTCCATTATAATACACAGGAAGCTGTGCAAAGTAGCACAATAATGCAGTTATTTAGGAATTGTAATAAGATAAGGGCCTTTTCTAACTTTCTTTAGTAAGGTTGAGTCCACATCTAATTTTATAATTTTTCGAAAACTAATGCTTAAACTATGTTTTTCCTAAGGCCACATGATCAATAAACAATGTTTCTGGTGTTGTAATGCTCTTTAGAACAACACAAAACAAGTCTCCTGAAATTACAACCTAATAAAAAGCAAATTTAAAGGATGCTTAGTTTGAAATGGATGTTCATGTTTAGCCAATGTCTTAAAGTATTTCATCCCACTGTTCCTCTTGTTTTCTAACCAAAGAAGATAAAACATAAAAAGAATGAGAAGTCATTTTTTCCACAGACCTTTTATTATCAGTCTCAAAAAATAAAATCCATACAAAAAAAATGTATATTTTCTCAGAGAGAAATCAAATGTTTTAAAGCAATTTCACACACAGCAATCATCTCTTATCAATCCTCTAAATACATAATTTATGCTCGACATTAATTGGTATTGGTCTGTCAAATATGACAATTTTTAAGGACTATGGTCCTTTAACACAATTGTCAAACTCCAAAGTGCATGTGGACACAAATACTTTGTATTCTGGAGTATGGGGGTTAGGGTTTATCATTATTATTAATGAACACAATCTAGATCAGCCACAACATATGAACATGTAAAGGCTAAATTTACTACATGACAAAGCTGATTCATCACATGGCTTTAAAGAAATGTGGTTTTCAGTGTACAACATATTCAGGATGTAAACCAAAATCTTAGTTTTCTTCTCTTTTTAATATTACATACTAAGACACATATGGTAAGAAGTTTAAATGATGCTCTTGAAACTAGATAAAATGAGCTGAAATTCACCATAATGTACATGAACACACAGTAGATATACAGAATAAACGGTCTGCTATGGAAGACAT